CCACGTCACGTAGGAGTAACATCAGGTGTGTTCAAAATGATTTATTAGCCTCTGGTGCCTTCGATGCAAACCGTGCACCTATCTTGCGTCGTGATTAACAATATCTCCAATGGCCCAAAATGAGTTTCCACTTGACCCACGTCACGTAGGAGTACCATCGGATGCGCCTAAAATGATTTCCAAGCCTTTTGTTTGTTCGACGCATATCGTGCACCTATATTACGTCGAGATTAACACTATCTCCAAACAGAGTGAAACGAGCTTTCACATCACTCACGTCACCTAGGAGTACCATCGGGTGTGCCCAAAATGATTTCCATGCCCGTGGTACATTTGGCGCAACCGTGCACCTATCTTGCGCCGAGATTAACACTATCTCTAAATGGACTGAAATGAGCTTCCACTTGACCCTCGTCACATAGGAGTACCATCGGGTGCGTCCAAAATGATTTTTGAGTCTATGACACGTTCAGCGCAAACCATGCACCTATCTTGCGTGGAGACTAACACTATCTCTAAATGGACCGAAACAAGCTTCCACTTGACATACATTACCTAGGAGTACCATCAGGTGTGCCCAAATCGATTTCCATGCCCATGGTACATTCGGCGCAAACCGTTCACCGATCTTGCGCGAGATTTGTATCTCCAAATGGATTGAAACGAGTTTCCACTTGACCGACGTCACGTAGGAGTACCATCGGTTGCGCCCAAAATGATTTTTGAGCCTATGGTGCATTCAGCGCAAACCATGCACCTATCTTGTGTCATGAATAACACTATCTCCAAATGGACCAAAACGAGTTTCCACTTGACCCACGTCACATAGAGTTCCATCGGTTGCACCCAAAGGCCCCGTTCGGCTTGCTGAAACTTGGTTGAAACTGGCAGAAAAAACACTGTTCTGGCTGAATTGTTGTGAGAGAGAAAATACTGTTCCGACTGAAAAAACAAGCTAAATAGTGCCATTTTTAAGATAAGCCAAACGGGGCCAAAATGATTTTGGAGCATTTTGTATCTTCGGCGCAAATCAAGCACCTATCTTACGTCGAGATTAACACCATCTCCAAATAGACTGAAATGAGCTTCCACATGACTCACGTCACCTAGGAGTACCATCGGGAGTGCCCATGTTACATTCGGCGCAAACCGTGCACCTATCTTACACCGAGACTAACACTATCTCCAAACGGACCAAAACGAGCTTCCACATGACTCACGTCACCTAGGAGTACCATCAGGTGTGCCCAAAATGATGTCCATGCCCAAGGTACATTCGGGGCAGACCGTGCAGCTATCTCGCGCCGAGACTAACACTATCTCCAAACCGATCAAAATGAATTTCCACTTGACCCACGTTACGTAGGAGTAACATCAGGTGTGTCCAAAATGATTTCTGAGCCTATGATGCCTTCGGTGCAAACCGTGCACCTGTCTTGCGTCGTGATTAACACTATCTCCAAATGGCCCAAAATGAGTTTCCACTTGACCCACATCACGTAGGAGTACCATCGGTTGCGCCCAAAATGATTTCTGAGCCTTTTGTTTGTTCGACGCAAATCGTGCACCTATCTTACGTCGAGATTAACACTATCTCCAAACGGACTGAAATGAGTTTCCAAATGACTCATGTCACCTAGGAGTACCATCGGGTGTGCTGAAAATGATTTCCATGCCCATGGTACATTCGGCGCTAACCGTACACCTATCTGGCATCGAGATTAACACTATCTCCAAATAGACCGAAACGAGTTTCTACTTGACCCACGTCACGTAGTACCATCGGTTGGGCCAAAAATGATTTCTGAGCCACGTCAGCCCCTCGAGCCGGCCTCCTTCACCACCAAGAAGTCTCTAGAAAGAACACCCAGGGGAGGCCGGTCCAAGTCAACACAGCCTGACACGCAAAGTGTCAGAATAGAGTAGCCGGACGACGCTCAAGGCTTCTTTGGCTCCACGACATCGCCACAGTCCACAAAGCGCCGTTGCAAGACCCTCCTGTACTCTAGCGCATATAGACCATAGGCTCATCCCCCAAAACACCATGTACCCAACCTACCTCGGAATATAAGGGGAGGTCGAATCCCAGAGGGGGAGGACAATCTGAGACAGATCATTCCATTCCTCACCGATCTGCTCCTACTCAGCACCGAGAGCAGAGCAACCGAGGGAGGGGCACCGAGAGCTCCTCCACCGCACCCGTCGTCTTCCTCCTCTCCGACGAGGGGAAGGCTTCACCGGTGGTGAGGCAACCTCAAGATTAGCACCGAGCTAACCCCCTACCAAATCTCTCTCTACCTCCTATACACTCTGTTGTAACCCCCCGATTTTGGGTGCTCTTGAGTAAGCTTGATCAACTAGTATGCATAGGTAAAAATTTTGCAAAGGTTTAATTCAAGTGCTTCAAAATGCTTTTTGAAAGAAACAAGTATACTATGATCATAGCTTGGAATGTTTATCTGTTGCTGATCATAATATGTTGGAGATGTGTTCATATCCTATATATATAGAGCAATTTAGTTTATAGATAACTCCTTGCATGTGCAATAAGCCAGGTTAACCTTAAAAACGAAGGGCATACAATGTCCAAGAACATGATTCTAGCATCAACTCAAACATCTTGATGCTTTTAGCATTGGAAGACATTCCAAATGATACTCCAATACTCACACTTGGCTTTTGATGTCAAGTGATATAAAAGTCCAATCGTGGGGAGCCTATCTTGTCATTTTCATCTTTGCTAAATTCTATCTTGAGTTAGAGATGTTGCTTCTTGCCTTGCTTTTCAAAATGAAAACATGCTTAGTCTCTCTTTTGTTCTCACCCAACAAAAATAACTTTGTAAAATGAGCACAAAGGCATCTTGTAGAACTTGTACCCTTCAGTTATTTCTGTCACTAAACCTTTTAGGTTGGAAATAAAAAGAATAAAGGGTCAAAAGAACAAGGTGGCCACAACTTGAACAAGACATCATTCAAAAACGGACATTCAAAGGAGAATTCAACCCTCTCAGCATGAATTTCGACATTGAAGTGAAGAGGGGTAATATCTGGTAAGTGCTCCATTGAAGTATCCATCCCCTATCTAATCTTTGGCCCCGTTCGCTGGTCTGAAACTTGGCTGAAAAACACTGTTCCGGCTGTTTTGTTGTGAGAGAAAAACACTGTTCGGCTGGTTTGATGAACAGTAACGTGGAGAGGGAATCCAACCGGCTGGCTGGTCTGGTTCATACCAGCGAACGCAGCCTTTGTCTTGTTTAGGTGTCCCTAATCCTTAAGTTCCTCTTATAATTCGCTCACTTTTCTATTAAAACAAAAAATTATAAATAAAATAAACAAAATAAACATCTAACTTTCCTTTCACATAAAATGGAGAGGTCTTGCTTAATGGACTAAGGAATGAGCCCTCAGTTACTGATAAATTAGTATGTATCTCATTTTTTATTCTCACATAACCATTTGATTTGGAATTTGTTGACGACCAAAAGTGGAGGCATGGCAGGTACTTTATGGTGATGTTCTATATCATAAATGATATTTTGAAGTCCTACATATGAAGCCCCAAAGAAAAGAAGGAAAAGTCCCTGCCAAACCGGCCTGGCCGTCCCCAAAACCGGCCATGCCGGTTCTCCTGCACCACGCCGCAGCCACCCCCTCGGACCTCGACGAAATTGACCTGGCTTATTTGGGACCCTGCCAGGCTGGGTCTTCTGCTGCTGCTGCTCGGTAGGCTAGCCTCGTGGCCCAACAAAACCGGCCAGGGCGACTTCCCTTGTCGAAGTAGTTAATTTGATGTCTTATTTACATCATGACCGTCATCATGATATCTGCCTTCAGTCCTGTTGTTAAGGATCGCTAATGCCGAACAATTATATATTTACTATACATACATGCATCCTCAATCTCAAGTGCACTTTGTCGATTTTTTTTAAAAAAATGCACAACTATTGGACTCACAAGATAGTAAATATATATGATGTATGTTCAAAACATATATATATATATTTGATCTTTTCGTAATGCATATGCATCTCGATTCTCAAGTCGATGCAAGGCTCTGTTTTTTTTTGTTTGCAGCAGATAATGGTAGTGTCATAAAAAAAACTGTATGGCGGCACCTATGCTTTACCAATACTGTAGCATGTGTCATTTTCTACTACAAAACTGTGCGTCAATTGCCAACTAAATGTGACAATAGGGATAAAACAGTCTATTACTGCCATTTACCAATGTTGGTGGCCAGAACTAACAGCGATGCCATTTTGGGCACCAAAAATGAAGCCAATGCTACATCAGGGAAGTTTTACCTTCAAGTGATAAATAAGGAACCACCTCATTTTTCAATGCTAAATAAGGAATTCTCTAATTTTACACACTGAAATCATACCACATTCTGAACTCCTATCACATTCCCTTGTTTTCTCCATTGCGTTCCATTCCAAACAGTCCTGTAAGTTAAATCCATAACATTATACATGCATGATACTGAATTCTATATACTGACTTCACTAAGAACACTCTAATCTATCACATAAATAGTGAATTATTATTTGTAATAATTTTGTATGCCATTCCAAACTGTCCTGTAAGTTAAATCCATAACATTATACATGCATGATACAGAATTCTATATACTGACTTCACTAATAACACTATAATTTATCACATAAATAGTGAATTATTGTAATCATTTTGTATGCAACACTTCAGCAAGTTTTGAATATAAACACAGAATGTGCAACAGGTAACATCAGGCCATGATACATAGCAATCGCGAGTCTGATTGAGATTACTAACAGGCAATAATAATCAGAGGCTTCCACAACCAACCACAGCACATCTTCCGTTGATAAACATAGGGATTCAGAAAATATTGCACAGAAGCATAACTTCATGCATCCTACATAGAATTCTTTCAACCAAGGACCAACAATCCCAGGTATAGCCTTGTTCAAAACTGTTGACAAATTCCGCTACCAAATAGAACAGGATATTAGATGCTCAGGCTTCAACAGCAATCCTTCCAGCAACTTGGTCAAGATCACGCCTTCCCTGAGAGGTGATGAGCCTTCCACTGTAACAGGATAGCAATATGATGCCATAAGCAAATATCAGCAAAGAGCAACAAAATTATTAATGCACAAACATGATCATGGCAGAAGCATATTACCCCTTGGGGTCAACGTCAATGATGCCCATCTTCTGCAACTGCTGAAGGATGTTGCGGGAAATGGCACCACTGCTCTTGCAGAAATGAGGGGGCTGGGAGCCATTCCTCTGGCGCCCACCGTATATCTTCTGGAAGCCACCCACACCGATGCCCTGCCTCAAGTAGATTTTCCTAGCAATAGAGGCTACAGCATATCCCAAATGGCAGGTCAATATTAAAAATTAGTCCACAACTAACATATGCAAAATTACAGTGCATTGGCTACATAAGATCACGAATCCTTACCAGCACGCGTGTAGTACCAATCAGGGTCATAAGGTGGGAGCTCCTTGAACCTTGCAGTCTTGACAATGTCAACCCACTCTGGGATCTCCATCTGTGCAAGAGATCTATTAGGTTATGCAAATTGAGCCACAGAAAACAGTGAAGGCAACAAGCCTTCAGATCATTGCATGAAACAAAACTCAAGGACTTCTGGATTTGTTCCTTAGCATTGTCCATTAGTGAGTGCCAACTATGGCACTCTTTGGAACACAGGAATAGGAAAAATAAAGGAATAATGTAGGAATGCATATGCAATCCTAAGAAATTGAAAACATAGGAATTATGTGTTTGGCTGGGTACGGAATTCGAAAGGAATCTTAAGAACAAATTCGTGTTACTTGCTTGATTAGATACCAACTGCAGCTATTAATTCTTTGTTTGTCCTCGTTCCTTGTGCACAAGAAACTTCCTATGAGATATGAGTGGATTCTTTTTCCTGTGATTTTTTTTCCTATGATATCAGAGGCAAAGGAATTTTTCATATAGTTTTCCTGTGATCTATTCCTACAAACCATTTTATTCTTCTGAATTCTGCAAGGCAAGGATGAAGAATAGGAAAATATAATCGTGCATAGGGGTCACTTCTCCAAATTCAACTATAATGCCTTGGAACAAAATCTAACTCTACCCATTTTTCTTTAATCGCAAACAAGGATTAACCACACATGCTTCCCTTAATCTTTTCAAGCTAAGGACCAATTTACTGATCCATAAACTACAGCTTCCATACAGATTCAACAGGACGCCAACGAGATCCTTGAGGCCGTTCGTAGCAAACGTGAGATCTGAAGAAACGAGGTGGACAACGAGAGGCAGGACCAGTGAGTACCTTGCCGGAGCGCTTGAGGTGAGCGGAGTAGGCCTTGATGAACTCGTGGGGGTTGACGTCCTTGACCGTGCGCGCCGCCGAGGTCGCCATCCTGTCCTTCCACTCCTCTCGCCGCCGGCGCTGTCCTGAGGAAGGAAGAGGTGAGCTGCTGCGGCTGCGGCTCTAGGGTTTTGTGGAGGCGCGGTGGAAGCCAGACAATTTATACGGAGTAGGTTGGCCTTTGGGCTGTGTGGTTTTGAGAATGGGCCAATTAGCCAGCCGTGGGCCGTGGGCCGTGGTTACTGGCTAGGGTTAGAGGGCCATGTCTGTGTCTCTCTTTCAGCCTAGTCGCTTTGAGATTCGCTGACGGCGGAAATCCCACGGTTACAGCGTGATTAATTGGACGCAGCGGACCTACAGCCATCCAGTTGATTGATTGCAAGTGTGACCGTGGATCTATATTTATATTTATATATCTTTTTTCAAATGATATTTATATCTATACCTATATTGAATATAGATTTTTATATCTATGCCTAATATTAATGAGGGATAATTTTTCTCCATTTATTTTTTAATCTCTTCATAACTATTTGGATAGTGAAGAGTTTCTTTTATTTTGCTTTTCTTACTTCACAAACTGCACTCATGTCCTCCGTGTCTCATATGATCCGACCCATACTTATACGAGTTATAACAACTATGTCTAACAATAATAATATAGCCACATTTTTACTTAGCGTGCGTGTGCCACGCGAGCTCAGCGCACTTTTCGTTTTCAGCCACCGCCTCCGCTTCCATCAAGTACCTTCCATTCTCATCATTTTTTGTCATGCTCGCTTCTGATTCATAAACATATCACGCCGCATCGTTCATTTAAAAAAATTCAAAACTGCACCGCCCGTGTCATTCCCCTTTCTTCTGCTCTGTTTGTTTCATCTCCTTCGAGGCGGAGGTGGAAGCGAGGGGCGACGTGGGCGCGGCTTGGATTTGGGGCAACACGTGCTATTTTCTCCTATCGACGTCGAGGCAGAACCTTCATGGATGCCGGTGTAGCCCCCATGGACATGGAGGCGGAAGCTCCGTCCATGGCGATGTGGCCTCGATATGGGTCGCCACCAACTGGTTTTCCCCATCGATACAAAGGCGGAGGCAAAGACAGAGACATGAGGGTCGTCCTGATTCGAGAGGAGTGAGGGCCCCATCGAGTCCAGCGCCCACCAGTCATCTAGATTTGGCCGCACGTGTCGTGGGTTCGTCACCTCGACAGTCCTCTCGCGGTGCTGAAAGTCCTAGTTTGGTTTTGGATAATTGATGAAACCTAAGTGTACTAACCCTTGTCATTAAGTATTGTGATTGAGATAGGGTTGTACACACCAAGTGATGGAGCTAGATGATGGTCATGGTGATGATGGTGACTAAAAGAGATGATCCAAATGGACCGGAACGAGCTTGCACTTTACCCACGTCACATAGGAGTACCATCGAGAGTGCCCCAAATGATTTCCATGCCCGTGATACATTCGGGGCAAACCGTGCACCTATCTTGCGTCTAGGTTAACACTATCTCTAAACGGACCAAAAAAAGCTTCCACTTGATACAAGTCACCTAGGAGTACTATCGGGTGTGCTCAAAATAATTTTCATGCCCGTGGTACATTCGGTGCAAACCGTGCACCTTGCACTAAGATTAACACTATCTCCAAAAGGACCGAAATAAGCTTTCACTTGACCCACGTCACCTAAGAGTACCATCGGGTGTGTCCATAATGATTTCCATGCCCATGGTACATTCGGCGCAAACCGTACACCTATCTTGTGCCGAGATTGACAATATCTCCAAACGGATCAAAACGAGCTTCCACTTAACCCACGTCACCTAGTAGTACCATCGGGTGCATCCAAAATGATTTCCGAGCCTATGGTACATTCGGTGCAAACTGAACACCTATCTTGCGTCTAGATTAACACTACCTTCAAATGGATCAAAATGAGCTTCCACTTCACCCACGTCACCTAGGAATACCATTGGGTGCGTCCAAAATGATTTTCCGTGCCTATGATACGTTCGGCGTAAACCGTGCACCTATCTTGTGCCAAGACTAACTCTATCTCCAAATGGACCGAAATAAGCTTCCACTACATTACGTAGGAGTACCATCGTGTGTGCCCAAAATAATTTCCATGCCTATGGTACATTTGGTGCCAACCATACACCTATCTTGCGCTAAGATTAAAACTATCTCTAAATGGGTCGCAATGAGCTTCTGCATGATCCACGTCACCAAGGAGTATGAAAGGATCAAGATGCTCAAGAGGGGGGGGTGAATTGGGATAATTCTAAATTCTTTGCAATAATTAAGCCCTACACTTAGCCCACTTCACCCCTTGTGCCTAGAATGTGTTTCTATTGTTCTACCGCATAAAAGTTTTGCACCCTAGGTTCCAATCCTACTCTAGCATGGCAATTCTAGGAATGTAAAGACATGAAATGAATTGCTCAAATGTAAATGCTCAAAGTAAAGAGAGGGAAAGGAACGCAGCGATGTTTTTTTGAGGTATCAGAGAGTCGCCACTCCCCATTAGTCCTTGTTGGAGTACCAACGCAAGGGTGTAGCTCCCCCTTGATCCGCGCAAGGATCAAGTGCTCTCTACGGGCTGATTCTTTGATACTCCGTCATGGTGAATCGCCCACAACCGCTCACAACTTGAGTTGGGTCATCCACAAGCTCCGTCGGATGATCACCAAGCTCCCAATCACCACCGAGCCGTCTAGGTGATGGCGATCACCAAGAGTAAGAAACACAAACTCTCACTTGACCAAGCCAAGCCTAATAAGAAGGGTGGATGCACACTTGCTACTCTCTATTCACTAATGTGGTCCTTAATCTTGGATTCTCAAATCTCAAGCACCTCACTAGGCTCTTGCTCTCCCTTGCACTCCAAAGGTGTTTCTCAGCTGAACAAATGGGTAAGAGGCCTCCCTTGGATGAGTGGAGTAAGTATTTATACCCCCTCATTCAAAGCATAACGTTTGGAGGCTAAGTCATCACTCTGCAGGGTGACCAGATGCTACGGTCAGAGTGACCGGATGCTCCGGTCAGTTATACCTAGAACTGTGTCAGAGAGAGCAGTTAGTCTCTGACCAGACTCTGACCTGCGTCCGGTCAAGAAAAACGCTCTCTGGAACCTTACTGATGTTGATCAGACACTGGCACCCAGGGTTCGGTCACTTCATTGTTCAGCGTTCGGTCAGGTACCGGATCCTTACCAGCGTCCGATCAACACACACCGGACACGTTCGGTTAGGAAAACTTCTCTCTGGAATCTCTCTGGAGTTGATCGGACGCAGGTACCCAGCGTCCAGTGCACTTCCACTCAACATCCGGTCAGTACCAGACGACTGTAGTTGATTAAATGAACTGACCGGACTCACCCTCCAGCGTCCGGTCACAACTAGACCAGCGTCCGGTTAATTATTTGACACTCCATTCACTTCCAACTCGAAATCCTATGTGAATAAAGTTTACCCCAATTAATCTTAGGGCTATTCCTAAGCTACCTAGTGCTAGGTTTGACAAGTGTGCAACCTAATCCACTAGACTTACCTAGATCAAACTACTAGTCCATACCCCCCTTAATAGTACAACCAAAGAAAAAACAAAGTCCTAAACTACTCTAAGTGTCTCTCCATCACCAAACGACACTTAGAACTAATCCGTCCTTAACCTTGTCGCCCATCCTTTGAAAACCAAAACGATTTCCATCGACAGGGGCATGACAACCATGATTGCCCAATTAATTGCCATTACCACGACCTAACTCAAATTGCCTCTGCAGAACACATGTTAGTCATAGTAATCTCGTGTCGTCATTAATCATCGAAACCCAACTAGGGGCCTAGATGCTTTCAATCTCTCTCCTTTTTGGTGATTGATGACAACACAACCTTGAGTATGTAGAAGAGATGAGTGAGGTTTTCAACATGCTTGGTTCATATAAGCTTTTGACAATAAGAGCAAATGGGTTAGACATGCTTATATGACCCTAGCCAACATGATGTACTCAATATATATGAAGTAAGCATGAGTACATGTAGTAAAGCTCATTTGAATCGGAGTAAAACGCGGAAGCAAAGCAAATGACCATAACCAAGTGACATGACATATATATAAATCAATGTAGAGAGCACACAAGTCACATAAGTCTCACTATCACATGTAAATAAGACAATGCATGAAGTAAACGTGAATGCATGAAGTATCACACACAAAAGACCAAAAGAATCGTATCAAGACTATCTCACACGCTCCCCCTAGATCTAACACTCCCCCTAGATCTAACATACTCGCTCACTCTCCCCTTTGGCATCAAGCACCAAAACCTAAGGGTCGAACGGCGGGACAGGAGCAGTTGAGTTGGGCGCTGAGGTGCGGTGAGAGATCTGGAACTGAGCTGCATTATCCTCTGACCCTGAACTCTTAGTGGTCTGACCCTCTATTGCTAGAAGTAAAGGTGAAGCGGTCTGGGTTTGCTCAATGATTGGCGCGGCCTATGACTCTAGAAGTATCACTGTAGGAAGTGGAGCCACATCTGCCTCTGCCGCTGTCGCTGAAGCCTCATGTGTAGGAGTGACTATTTGAGGCGGCTCGGATGATGCAACAGACGACGAAATCATTTCGGTAGTCCCGGCAACTGGAGCAACTGTGGTAGGAATAGGGACTCATAACTCTAGAGGTATAGGCTACCCTATAAGCTCACTAAAGGTAGCACCGAGACTCCTGGAGACTGGGGTATCTATCACTAACACTGAAGAACTCTGAGTCAGAGTGAAGCCCGTAACAATAGGAGTAAAGTGAGGACCCTGAGCTATCACTGGTGAAGCAAACCACTGGGACACCTACTCTATAGGTGAAGCAAACTGAGTAGCCGGTGGTCCCTGACTCTGAGGCCCACTAGGCTGTATAGCTGGAGTCATTGGAGTGGTGGTAGCAGGCTAGCCTATCTGAGGTGTAGACTACTAAGGAGCAACCCCAATAGCAGTGAATACATGCTGCATGAAGCCAACTAATTGCTGTTGAATCACAAGCTGCTACTACTGCATGGCCTGC